CGGCGGCAGCGGAACGACGTTCACTATCACGCGTAGAGACTAGAGACCCGACGGGCGGTCAGTGCCGTGGCTAACTCATTTTGCCTGGAGGGAGTAGGGCCTACTTGGTAAAGCCACGCACGGTCTGTGTTCTGGGCAATTGTCCGGGAAAAGGTTGCTGTTGGATATTGACCATGTAATAGTAAGTATACTTCTCTGGATGAAAGAACAACTGTCCCCTTGCCTCCCCCGCTAGCTACGGTCTTGCAGCCACGAAAAAAGTGCATATCGCTGAAGGCGTTAGACAACTGATACAACGGCTTCTAAATGAATCTAGGCCAATCATAACGAATCACACGTACACGACAAATATGATCAACACTTACAACATATTTACACAGATATTTACATCATCGCAAAATAGTTAAAGTGGATTATGTGCTACCAATCTATATAATGGCGTTACGCCGTTACAAAAAATCGTTTTGACACAAAGGCCAAAGGAATGCTTAGATATTCAACAAGAGTAACACAGACAAGAGTTATGGAAACGTCATTTTTCTTCAAAATAAATATTTTTATACAAAGGCTTGTTTTTCTTTGGGGTTACCCCTAAACAGTTTTCATGATCAGTTTAACATAAAAAAAACTGTACAACTAGTAAGTATCAAACATCTCATTATGAGTTCGATCCTACTTATCGAAATCTATCTTGTAGCCTTTAATCATAATTAAACATAAATTTTGATCAGCATTAGTACAATCCTCATCCCTCCTTACCAATATGCGATTGAAACCCCCACGTCTTTTAATGAAACGTGTTTTATATGGAGAGAGAGAAAGAAAGGTGCCTACCAATCAAACGCAATATGGTTTGAAAATAATTCAGCTACGTATTTCAATTTTAATTTCTACTACTTTCACAAAACTGACCCGAATTTATATTTTTTCATACATGAACTTGTTATTCTTTCTCTAATACCCCCGTCACACCGGACGGCGACCATCCGCGACCGTACGGCGACCAGAAAATGTACAAGGTCGCCGGCAAACGCGAACACAACGCGAGAAAAAGTCCCAACAAATTATAAACTTGAAAAAAAACCGCGCTCTTACCGCGACCTGTGCGATCATACCGCGTTCTCACGGCGCGCCCGCCACGACCTCTCCGCGCTTATGGCGTTTCTATTGAGATCTATGGGCTTGGCAACAGCGATCACCGGCGTTCCCGCGGCGCTCTCACCACGCTCATGGGGTTCTTACCACGCGTCTTCTACGTGTATCGCGACTGCACGGCGACCTCACGGCGTTTCTACCACGTTCTCACGGCGACTATAGAAGCTGGTCAGATTTTCGAAAATTTTAACTGTATAGTTGTGCGTTTGCTGAGTAGAAACACGATGCCGAAGAAACAAGCTACCAGAGGCCGAGGCCGTGGCCATGGCCGAGACAGATCGGCATGAAACAGATCGGCAGATCGGATGAGATAGATCCATGAATTCTCCGTTGAAAATGTTACTATTATCGCAGCGTCTTTGCCACGCGTGTACTGCGCGTGTACTACGTTTATGGAGATGTTTCGACGCTTGTCTCACGACCTTCGCGACCCCACCGCGTTCTCACCGCGTTCCAGGTCAGATCGCCGAACCTTGGCGTTTGTTTTGAACATGCTCCAAACAAACGCCGTGACTCGGCGATCATTGGCGACCATGGCGACCACACCACGATGTCTGGCGTTTCCACCACGCTTATACCAAGCTTATAGCGACCTTGGCGCGCTCTGGGCCCATTTTCCGTCGCCGTAGCCGCGCAGTAAGGACGCCACCCCGGTGTGACGGGGGTATAACATGCGATACAGTAAAAAAACCGCGTATAAGAACCTGCATTAACGTTCTTATATAATTGGTATTTACTTGAAAATTTGGCTATTTAGGTTCTTAAATAGGTTCTTATTTTCTTAAGAAAAAAGGTGCTTGTTGCTGGAAGAATATTGGTGCGGTCCAATGTTTATATGAAATATACATATAATTATAACTAAATGACTGCAATCTAGACAAATACAAACCCTATTCTAGGTTATCTTATTTTTCTTTATGCCCTTAATACCTAATAAACATCAACAAAACAAAACTAAATTGTTTTAAAACACCACAGACATGCCTGGCCAGGTTCCTCAGTCGCAAGGTATGGTACCATGCTCAATTTCATAATGTATGCAGTAAAACTCCCGGCCCCCCTTGTCCTCTATGTCACCATCACTGTCTTCCATGTCACCATCACTGTAATGCATGTCATCATCACTGTCATCCATGTCATTCATGTCACTATCAGTGTCATTAATGTCATCCATGTCACCATTACTGCCATCCATGTCTTCTATGTCACCATCTCTGTCCTCTGTGTCATCCCTGTTATCATCACTGTCATCCATGTCATCCATCATCATCATCATTATCATCATTATCATCATTATCATCATCATCACCGGCGTCTTCAACATCATGACTGCTAATGTCATCAT